GAGCACAGCAGCCAAGGTTACGAGGTGCGTGTGCTCAGTCAGGACAGCTTGAACTGATAAACTGGGTCAAAGTTATGGGCCTTGGAAAATATTCCCCAACAGAACCTATCATGCAAGATGCACTTTTTGATGTCTTTTATACATTAACATGTGTCAGAAAATAAAACCCTCTCTCTTTTCCTCCGTACCCAAATCTTTTAAAACGGGGGAACAACGAGCGGATACAGATTTGCTGCCGATATGACGTAATATCGGATGGTGGACCCGCAGAGAGTTGCTATCAGAAACAATGCCTGACGTGTTTTGGACGTAATCTCGTCTTTGTTTACGTTAGCAAGCCTCGCTAACACTCAGAGCTAACCAAGAAGCAGGAAATAAAAAAAGGAACTCACCTTGTGATAAACCCGCAAGAGAAAAGGCATTTGAGCTCCATACTGTTTCAGAAACAATCCTTGATGTGGTTTAGAACAGCAGACTCTCCAGGTCGTGTTCTTCACATGGATCTCGTCTGTTGCCTTCAGGGCGAAGATATGCTCTCCCTGCTCTAAAGACTATTCGCTTTTCCAAATCATTCATCCCTTCTGCACTCAAACTTTTAAATTATTGAAAGGCTTTTAACTTGATTATTTATTTATTATTGTGATGCTTTGAACTATTTATCGTGTAAATTGGAATGATCCACATCTGTGCTCCCGGGTGTATCTGTGTGTTTTCTTCCTGTATGTTCCTGCCTGTGTTCATGACATAAGCTGCTGCTCATAACCAACTGCCCCTTGCGGGATTAATAACGTTGTTGATTGAGAACAGGATGGCGTTTTATCAAAGCAGATATTAACTTTATCTCCGGTAGAATTCTGATCAGGCATTAGCTCCGCCTCCTCTTTTTTTTTTTCAAGCTAAGGACCCAAAATCTAAAAAACTCTAGAAGAATCAGATGTGAAATACATCAACGATCCATTATAATACTGGACAAAAAGAGAGCAAATAAACCCTTTCATTGAGATGTCTGATTTAGTCAATTAACAAATACAAATGGAATTTTTCACAATTTTGACTTTTTCGCCAGATTTTGACTTTTTGTTCAAAATATTGAATGCTTAAAAAAAAAAAGAATTTCGGACATGTTCTCAGATTTAGACGTTTCTCTGAGTTCTTCTCAGAATGTTGACTTACAGGTCCCGTGTCATGGCCATTTCTACTGATCATAGTTCCAGTGTTGAGCTCTGCTAGAATAGATTCACTTTGTTCAATGTTCCAAACTCACTTTGGTTTCTCAAACAGCATCTCTGTAGTCTGTGTCCTAAACGGCTTGTTGGAGCTCCTGCCCCCCCTCCCTGTGAGCCCATTGGCCGTCTGCGAGACAGCGAGACACAGCGAAACCCAGCCCGAACACAGACACACCCGCAGCCTGGCTGGGAGTTTGTGTGTGTGCTCAGGCCGTAACATTACGTCACTATACCCAAATACGTCACTATAGAAGTAATCAATGGAAAAAGAGAAATGTCCAGCGAGGCGTTCTGGGGCAGCACAGACAGGTCTTCTCTGTGTTAGAGTTTTACTCGCTACAGGGTGCACTCTGAGGGTTTGAGACTCTGCAGACCGTTCACATGCAGACAAACCTTCATAAACACGAGGGGACGGGTGATACCCAGAAAGCATGACATGGGACCTTTTCATTTTATTTTTCAGATTTTGACCTTTTTCCCAAAATGTTGTCATTATTTCCTCAGATTTTCCTTCTGAATCTGACTCTCTCAGAATTGTGTACATGTTTTCCCTGCTGCCCTGACTGCCCTGTGTTTGAAATGATGACACGAGAGACATCAGCTAGGAAATGCTCAGAGGGAGTTATTATTATAATTATTATATGTTCTTCCTTTCACAGAATGGATGTTTGCTATGTGTGATGTAGCCTTGTCTCTTAATACGCTGCATACAGATCAGAGCAGCATCTCATAGCTTAGCTTATTAACCAGTTGAGCCCCGAGCCTGTTTGTCAGGCCTCATGCTGGAAAATGACATGCCCAGAACAAATGACTATAACTTCACTTCTAAAAGGGGTACATTAATAATCTTTTTTCTTGACATCTCTTTTTAACCGTCAGAGCCAATATAATCGAGGGGAGGTTCCTAAAATCCATCCAAACATTACCCATTGGTGAATGAGTAACCAGAATTCCCAAAGGCTATCATTGCAGCTAATGAGAAAACTCCGTTATTGACATAAATATGAAGATGGATTATCAGTAATCATTTCAAAGTGACACAGACACATTGGATTAACCTTTGGATTTACTTCAGCAGCGTGTTTATGGTTGTAATGCCATTGAACACGACTTTTGATCAGAACAACAGCATAGGTAAGAATATCCCCTGTGTTTGCTCCGTAACGCTACGTGGTGTGATGTCTGGTTTTGCTTCTCATGTTGCGAGTTCTGATCGCTTGCTAATCGATATCTTATTTGTGCTGATACGATAAGTAATACGGGTCTTTTACCTTGAGTTCTGTGCTAATGGCGTTAGCATTTTTCGCTCAGGGCTAATTCAGAGCCTTTGTTATTACCCTTTTGTTTTGTTTAGCTAAACATGGTTAATATTGTCTGAAAGCTGAGTTTCTTCCCGTGAAGTGGGTATGACATATTCATAGTTTGTTAAATGTTAACATTCACATGAAACAAAGTCTTTCCAAAACGTCCCCTCTGTATTTCTGTGGAGGATCATTGATGTCCCACATCGCCCTGCAGAAAGGAGACTGATGAGTCGCTAATGGCCCATCAGCGCAAACAAAAGCATGCAAAACCCTTGCGTGGGGTTTAGAGGAAATACAGCTGCTGCTAATGCTCCGAACATCACAGAGACTCATTCAGCGCCTCGAGCCTCTCATCATGGACACAAAGCTGCACTTGAATGCATCCCAAAGACTCCAGTCATCAACCAAACATAAATAACGTACGTTCTGTGGTCACAGTCCTCATAAGTCAACTCTTTGTCAATCTTTCAGTTTGTGTTTACAGACAGAGAGATCCAAAAACGGTTTCTCACAATCCCAATTACAAAAATACAATTATATATCAATCAATCAATGTTTATTTATATAGCCCAATATCACAAATGTTACATTTGTCTCAGTGGACTTTACAGATTGTACAAAATATCAGTATGACAATATAAAAGTATGTATACATATATATAAAAGTATGTATACATATATATAAAATATAAAAGTATGTATGCAAATATGTACATACCTAGCAGTGACGTGCGATGAGGTTCATGGCTGGTGAGGCACTGACTCTTTCAGATTCAGATTTGCAAATATTATATTTTAACCTTAATCGAAATATTCTGTTGTTTTCAAAAGCATGTTTAGTCTGATGCAACATAAATGCACCCCCCACCCTTTTCTCTTCCATTCCTCCCGCTGCAACGTACTGTACTTTACTGTTCAACTGAACACCTTAAATACTTCTTCTGCCCCACGTTTATGTTCAGTCTGTCCGTCTGTCGGCAGGAAGACAACTCCAGCAAGGATGACCCTGAGGAAGAACCATGGGAATGAAAGATCTGAATCCCACAGAGGAGTATTTTACTCATCAGTGAACTGCCTTAGTGCCCCCACACACACACACACACACACACACACACACACACACACACACACACACACACACACACACACACACACACACACACACACACACACACACACACACACACACACACACACACACACACACACACACACACACACACACACACACTCACTCTCACACACACACACACACACCACTCACACACACACACACACACACACACACACACACACACACACACACACACACTCACTCTCACACCACACACACACACACACTCACACACACACACACACACACTTGGGACACCAAGTGAAGAATGAAGAACACCAAGGAGACCAAAATACAAGAGACCAATCAGGAGGAGGGAAACCAAGTGAAGAATGAAGAACACCAAGGAGACCAAAATACAAGAGACCAATCAGGAGGAGGGAAACCAAGTGAAGAATGAAGAACACCAAGGAGACCAGAAGGCAAGAGACCAATCAGGAGGAGGGAAACCAAGTGAATAATGAAGAACACCAAGGAGGCCAGAAGACAAGAGACCAATCAGGAGGAGGGAAACCAAGTGAAGAATGAAGAACACCAAGGAGGCCAGAAGACAAGAGACCAATCAGGAGGAGGGAAACCAAGTGAAGACTGAAGAACACCAAGGAGACCAGAAGACAAGAGACCAATCAGGAGGAGGGAAACCAAGTGAAGACTGAAGAACACCAAGGAGGCCAGAAGACAAGAGACCAATCAGGAGGAGGGAAACCAAGTGACGAATGAAGAACACCAAGGAGGCCAGAAGACAAGAGACCAATCAGGAGGAGGGAAACCAAGTGAAGACTGAAGAACACCAAGGAGGCCAGAAGACAAGAGACCAATCAGGAGGAGGGAAACCAAGTGAAGAATGAAGAACACCAAGGAGGCCAGAAGACAAGAGACCAATCAGGAGGAGGGAAACCAAGTGAAGAATGAAGAACACCAAGGAGACCAAAAGACAAGAGACCAATCAGGAGGAGGGAAACCAAGTGAAGAATGAAGAACACCAAGGAGGCCAGAAGACAAGAGACCAATCAGGAGGAGGGAAGCCAAGTGAAGACTGAAGAACACCAAGGAGGCCAGAAGACTAGAGACCAATCAGCAGAAGGGAAACCAAGTGAAGAATGAAGAACACCAAGGAGACCATAAGACAAGAGACCAATCAGGAGGAGGGAAACCAAGTGAATAATGAAGAACACCAAGGAGGCCAGAAGACAAGAGACCAATCAGGAGGAGGGAAACCAAGTGAAGACTGAAGAACACCAAGGAGGCCAGAAGACAAGAGACCAATCAGAAGGAGGGAAACCAAGTGAAGAATGAAGAACACCAAGGAGGCCAGAAGACAAGAGACCAATCAGGAGGAGGGAAACCAAGTGAAGAATGAAGAACACCAAGGAGACCAAAAGACAAGAGACCAATCAGGAGGAGGGAAACCAAGTGAAGAATGAAGAACACCAAGGAGGCCAGAAGACAAGAGACCAATCAGGAGGAGGGAAGCCAAGTGAAGACTGAAGAACACCAAGGAGGCCAGAAGACTAGAGACCAATCAGCAGAAGGGAAACCAAGTGAAGAATGAAGAACACCAAGGAGACCATAAGACAAGAGACCAATCAGGAGGAGGGAAACCAAGTGAATAATGAAGAACACCAAGGAGGCCAGAAGACAAGAGACCAATCAGGAGGAGGGAAACCAAGTGAAGAATGAAGAACACCAAGGAGACCAGAAGACAAGAGACCAATCAGGAGGAGGGAAACCAAGTGAAGACTGAAGAACACCAAGGAGGTCAGAAGACAAGAGACCAATCAGGAGGAGGGAAACCAAGTGACGAATGAAGAACACCAAGGAGGCCAGAAAACAAGAGACCAATCAGGAGGAGGGAAACCAAGTGAAGACTGAAGAACACCAAGGAGGCCAGAAGACAAGAGACCAATCAGAAGGAGGGAAACCAAGTGAAGAATTAAGAACACCAAGGAGGCCAGAAGACAAGAGACCAATCAGGAGGAGGGAAACCAAGTGAAGACTGAAGAACACCAAGGAGACCAGAAGACAAGAGACCAATCAGGAGGAGGGAAACCAAGTGAAGAATGAAGAACACCAAGGAGGCCAGAAGACAAGAGACCAATCAGGAGGAGAGAAACCAAGTGAAGAATGAAGAACACCAAGGAGGCCAGAAGACAAGAGACCAATCAGGAGGAGGGAAGCCAAGTGAAGACTGAAGAACACCAAGGAGGTCAGAAGACAAGAGACCAATCAGGAGGAGGGAAACCAAGTGAAGAATGAAGAACACCAAGGAGGCCAGAAGACAAGAGACCAATCAGGAGGAGGAAAACCAAGTGAAGACTGAAGAACACCAAGGAGGCCAGAAGACAAGAGACCAATCAGGAGGAGGGAAACCAAGTGACGAATGAAGAACACCAAGGAGGCCAGAAGACAAGAGACCAATCAGGAGGAGGGAAACCAAGTGAAGACTGAAGAACACCAAGGAGGCCAGAAGACAAGAGACCAATCAGGAGGAGGGAAACCAAGTGAAGACTGAAGAACACCAAGGAGGCCAGAAGACAAGAGACCAATCAGGAGGAGGAAAACCAAGTGAAGACTGAAGAACACCAAGGAGGCCAGAAGACAAGACACCAATCAGGAGGAGGGAAGCCAAGTGAAGACTGAAGAACACCAAGGAGGCCAGAAGACTCTTGGAGCCTCTTTATATTCTGAGAAGATGCTTTTCAATTAGCCTGACTACTGGTGGCAGTGTGTGTGTGTCCCTGCTGCTGTTCTGTGTGTGTGTGTGTGTGTGTGTGTGTGTGTGTGTGTCCCCTGCTGCTGTTCTGTGTGTGTGTGTGTGTGTGTGTCCCTGCTGCTGTTCTGTGTGTGTGTGTGTGTCCCTGCTGCTGTTCTGTGTGTGTGTGTCCCCTGCTGCTGTTCTGTGTGTGTGTGTGTCCCTCCATGCTGCTGTTATGTGTGTGTGTGTGTGTGTGTGTGTGTGTGTGTGTGTGTATGTCCCTGCTGCTGTTCTGTGTGTGTGTGTGTCCCCCCTGCTGCTGTTCTGTGTGTGTGTCCCCCCTGCTGCTGTTCTGTGTGTGTGTGTGTGTGTGTGTGTGTGTGTGTGTG